CTCAATGGAGCGTCTGGGCATTACTTGAGTTACAATATTATTTTACTTCATAAAAACTATGTTTCAATTGGTGTGTATTTGTAAAGTTAAATAACAGAAAATCGGGATATATAGTACGATAGATGTTTATTTTTCCACAAAATATTCCCTATTTTCAGTCAAAGGTGAATTTATATTTTCATTCCTAACCCTTACATGTTTATTAATTATTATGATTTGAAATTAAGTTTAAACTCTCTCTCTCTCTCTCTCTCTCTCTCTCTCCATTTTAAGCAGTACTTTGGTTAAAAGAAAATCTTTATAATTTTTAGTAGTAATGTTCAGTTAAAAAATATTTATTAAAAATGTTACTTGTGAGAACCATTATTTTTCCGCACACAATTAACGAATTTTATTTTTTGAATAATTTAAATGAGATTATTAAGAAAAAAAAAATTTGATGAACAAAGCCATTATTCATTCATAATTTATAACGTTCTCAATTTGATTCACTTGTTAATTTGTTATCACTTGATTTAAAATATTCTGCTATAGTATTAATTAAAATAACAAGGTTAGTATTGAATACTGATTCAAAGTTTATATTTCTTTTTTCATTCCTTTTTATAATCAAATTTTGGAATTTGGATCAATTTTGTTATTATTATTTTATATTAAACCGTTCATCTTAATATCTCCAGAAGAAAAAAAAATGGAACAGTTCATGTTAACAAATATTACAGAGATGCAATTTATTTGTGCAAAAAGTAGAAAAAAACTGAAAAAAAAAATAATTTTCTTATCGAAAATATGAGAAACAAGAAAAGATAATTTTTATCGGCAAAGGAATTCTAATTACTTCAAAACTTTGAACTCTTAGGGAATTGAATTCTTTACAAAGTAGAAATTCTTGAAAATTCAATTCTCCGTCAGACATTATCATCGATAAGTAATTATACGGAAAAAAAATAAAAAATAAAATTTAAACGAACAAAAACAAACTAACCTTTGCTCCCAATAAAATATATAGGCCATCTATAACTTATAAGCATCAGATTTGCTGCCATACGTTCGGACCATGCATCTATTTTCACTACTTAACAGCGTTCCCATAGTATGATTTAATGGGAATTTAATCCTCAAATCTTTGCATTCAACAATCAAAAATCTTTTCCCCTCCAAAAAAAATTGAGGATTAACCCTAAAACTGGCCTCCAGCAAGAGATCAAAGTTCAGAACCCTATCTTCATTAAAATCTTCTTCAATTGCATCAGTTTCCATTCCATGATTTGCATGCACTGTTATTTCCTGATCCCCAGGACGTTGATAGAATGGCATTATGTGTGCAGTAGAAATAAATTTTTCTTTGTAGAAAAGCCAAACTTGAGCCTGATCATAACTGATATATGTATTGAGATTAGGGTTTTTCATGGACAGACTTACATTCCAACTGCTTTCGTTTTCAGAGTAATTTTTAAAGGAAGAGACGAACATCGAGCTTACAACAAATTCGGGTTTTTTATCCTTAAATTTGCTACATAGGATGATTATTGAGAAGATGGACATGAAGAAGAGCAGCCCAGACAAGTGGAATAACCACCATGGAAGCCTTACCTTTTTGGGTGAGAGGCCTGAAACAGGGTTTTCAAGATCTTCCATTGTTTCTGAATCGTCAAAGAAACTATGTTATTTCTTTTGAGGGTGCAAATTTAAAGATCTCGTGAGTTCCTCGATCAATTTTCGAAGAACCTGGGATTAATTTTGTGTTAAAGGTAGAAAAGTTGTAGCAATGGTGTAGTGAAGGACTTATTAATTTATGTACTTATATGATTAAAAATTAAGATAGTCATATTGTACTCAAATACTACATGAATTCGGTCTAGGATCTTATTCCTACTAGATTTGTTCTTGCACCCACACTAGGAATCCTAAATTTGCTTCTTTCTTGAAGTGTTTCTTCTACCAAACTCTACTCTAAGAGGATCTAGTTTCACCTGTTCACAAGGACTCGATTATACACAAATTTCTTAATAGATCTTGGTCTTAATGGTTATATTAGGTTCCATAATGCCATGTTCGATCATATTTGTAGGACCCGTAAAAGTGTTTTTACAGTTGAAGTCACCAACCGTCGATATTAACGTCTATAGTTGAGCCTTATCGACCGTTCGTCGAATTTCATGATCAGGATCACAATTGAGTTGGGAGCTTGAAAATTTAAATACAGATTTAAAACTTTCAGATTAAGTTGCTACAAACACTACTCAAATAATCAAAGTTGCAATTTTTACAAAAAATTATCCGTAAGTAACATTTTTAAAATTAGCTTACTGAGCTTGCTATATGCTGATGAAGCGGTTTTTATGCAAATATTAATGGCTTGTAGTTACGTGTAGAAACTACCGAGAGATCTGATAGAACCCTGAAATTGCTGAGATTTTCTAGGAATAGAAACTGATGCTGCTGTCTGTCTGAATAACCTGCAGAGCTGTTAACCAATGTGTAGTAGCTTAGATTACTTAACTAGAAGATAACTAAGATTATATGTAATGGAATTTATATTGTTTATTGATTGGAAAAGATGAAAGACACTGGAATTGAACAAATGACACTGAATGGAACACAAGAAACTCCCAGGCTCTTCGAGAGACCGGGCTCTCCTCACAACTCACTAACTTTTCTCAATACCCTCATCACATTTATAAGCAATCCCTTAACCGTAATTTCTTGACTTATTACACTTTTGACCCTCTAACTAACTATTGAACCTTCTAGAATAATAAATGATGTGGCTGCAACATATGTGAACCAGTTGGGGTCTATCAAGATCCTAAACCAATTATTTTAAGTTACTTTACAAACATATGATATTTTTATATAATAATAACAGCGTACTCATAGGTAAATTTTAAATTAAAACTTTGAAAATATAAAGTGTATTATTTGAAAAGATAATATAGAAAATGAAAATCAATAAACTCAATCTGTGTGTGCTCAAAAGTAACAAATAACATATTTATGTCCTATTGCACGTAAAAGCCTAAGAGGTGAAGCATAAGACATTTAGGGCTGTTTAGCAGCTTCATTTTTGCTTTTGTGTTTTGTAAAAGAGCTTCTTAGCGAAGCTATAAAAACACTTCTAATAAGATAAAATATATTAAAAAATATTCAAACATATTCAAAAGCAAATTTTTAATCTCATATGCAGCTTGTGATTTTTTTAAAGTCTTGTCAAACAGGTCCTAAGTAATTTAATATGATTTTTAACACTTTTTTCTGTGCAAGTTGTATTTAAGGGAAATGCTATGTGTACATTTCATGGTTTACACAATACATTACACCCCTCTCACATGGAGGGGGGCTCATAAATATTTTATTGTGTGTGGGCCCCCCTCATGTGAGGGGAGTCTAATGCTATGTATACACTATTATGTACCCATAGCATTTTCCTGTACTTAAAACCTTAACACACCAAAATTTTGTAGAAGGGCATTTGAGAGACATGAACTCGAGTTTTATTTTTTGTTATATCACTTCGAATTGCTTCAGTTAATAATTTAAATTGTTAGAGTTTAAACATTTTTAATCTCGAATATCTTCTTGGTGTTATGGCCATAAGGCTAAGTTATATGAATTATTTATGTAATAAAAGAAAAAAAAAACTCAAAATAAAAAGAAAAGTTAAATAGTTTAAACGGTAAAATTCTAGGCTCCGCTGTACTCTCCCTTACAACGGCTAGTAATCAAATTTGGAAAGCCACGGAGCAGTGATCTTAACCGTTTAATCTTTGATTAACGGCTCTTATTTGAAAAAGAAGAATATGACCGTTAAAGAGAAGCGTCTCGACGATTCAACCATATATACCCCAATCAGTCCCCCAAACCCTTCTTTCTTCTGCATTACCATTCAATAGCAAATTCAGGGAACGAATTTTTAGAAAGAGAAAGGGAGAGAAGTTTAGATAAAGAAAGATTTTTGAATTGTGGCGACCGAAGACCCAGAAGGAGAGACTCGCAACGGTCGTCTCCAGGTATTTCTGTCATCGTTTTGGGCGAGTCTTGGAGGGGTTTTTGGTAGTCAGAACATCAATCAAGAAGAAAAAGAAGAGGATTTAGAAATGGCTTCAAAAGCTGTTGTTCAAGAACAACCCAGAGGCAACAATCGTAAGCGAAAATATTCAAGTTTTATACTACGGATCATAGTTACATTCTTTGTTTCTGTGATTTCATTATTTTATATGATGATTGGGTTCTTTTATGGTGAGTTGGGCTGAGTTTTGAAGGGTATTGGTCAATCGTGGGATTCACTGGTCTTCTATTTTTCCGCACTATTAGTTTCTGGATTTTCATTCGGTGACTACTGTGATGGGTATTGAGATTTTGATTCTTGACTGACTCTGATCAGAATTTTATTCAATTGATTCTTTTCGTAGTTTCTTTACCCTCTTTGTGGTATATTTTTTATTTCTGGATAAAATTATTTGTATTTGGATTTGATTTAATAATCATATATAATTTTTTCTTTTGATTCAACAGTTGGAGGAAAGCAAAAGAACGTACAAGGAAGAAATCGGCGAGCTCTCGGAGACATTGGAAACCTTGTTTCAGCTCCAGCTGTTGAGGGGAAGCCTCAAACTCAGATCTCTCGGCCCATAACAAGGTATGCCCTCTCTCAGAAACAAACAGAATGATTTTTTGGTTTTGAGTATGTTTGACCTAACTTTCAGGTAATCTTCACTTTCAGAAGCTTTTGTGCTCAATTACTTGCAAATGCACAAGCCGCTGCTGAGAAGAACAGTAAGGTAAATTCTTGAATTTTCTAGCGTTCAAGAAATTTCGTTTATTTGCATGTGTACAGAGCAAGTAGTAACTGATTTCTGTTGTTAATTTGCAGAAACCACTAGCACAAATTGTCAATGGAGTCGTGGGAAAAGAGGGTGTTCCGATAGCCGCAACTCAGAAGAAAGAATTTGTCAAGCCGAAGAAGGAAGCTGTAATTGTCATTAGTCCTGATGAAGACGAGAAAAGCCAGAGGACTGCAAGAAAATCATCAAAGAAGACCGGAAAAACTCTGACTGGGACCCTCACTGCTCGAAGCAAGGTTACCATTTCAATCCCATCTGATCTTATTTTCTTGAAACTATTTGAAGCTATATCGAAGTTTTTAAAGAAATGGTTTTGTTTGTTGTTGTATTGAAGCCGTGGCATTGCACTGTTTTGTGCTGCTGTAAACTGATCGATTTTTTCAGGCTGCTTGTGGAATTACCAAGAAACCAAAGGATCCAATAGCAAACATTGATGCAGAAGATGTGGATAATGAATTGGCCGCTGTGGAGTACGTTGAGGATATCTACGAGTTCTACAAAGTTGCAGAGGTGTGCTAATTTTCTTTCCCTTACTCTGTTTCTCTTCGTTTTCTCATGTTTATCGAGGACAAGACTCAGTATATATGTTATTCTCTTGTGCTCAGGATGATGCCCGAGTTGGTGATTACATGGATTCGCAGCCAGAAATCAATTCTAAAATGAGAGAGATCCTTGTAGACTGGTTGGTTGAAGTTCACAAGAAGTTTGAACTGATGCCTGAAAGTTTATACCTCACAATTAACATAGTAGACCGTTTTCTTTCGACGAGGACTGTTCGAAGAAGGGAACTTCAGTTGGTTGGCATCAGCTCTATGCTAATTGCCTGCAAGTATGAAGAGATATGGGCACCAGAGGTATGTAAACTGCCGGACTTCATATTTATTGTAAATAAGGCTTAATTTGTCATTCTATGGTCGTCATTACAGGCATTAATGTTTTATACAGGTAAATGATTTCATAGCTATATCAGACAATGCTTATATCAGGGAGCAAGTTCTTCTAATGGAGAAAGCAATTCTTGGGAAATTGGAGTGGTATTTGACAGTTCCAACTCCATATGTCTTTCTGGTTCGATACATCAAGGCATCTTTCAAGGCTGATGAACAGATGGAGAGCATGGCATTTTTCTTTGCTGAACTTGGTTTGATGCACTACTCAACCATCATCCAGTATTGCCCCTCAAAGCTTGCCGCAGCTGCAGTCTATGCAGCCCGATGCACTCTTAACAAAACTCCCATTTGGAATGAAACTCTTAACCACCATACAGGCTACAGTGAAGATCAGCTGATGTATGTATAAACATATCTCTAAATCTGTAATCCCAAAACATCATACTAACTTTTCGTGTCATTCTCTACAGGGAGTGTGCAAAATTCTTGGTCCAAATCCACTCTGGTGCAGCGGAAAATAAGCTCAAGGCAGTTATGCGGAAATATTCGAATCCAGATAAGGCTGCTGTTGCTCTTTTTCCACCAGCAAGAAATCTACTTCTTCCAGCTTGATATGTTGGAATGTCTGAGATCATTTTACTGACATGATCTATCTCTCTTTAAGTTTTAGGTCACCATGTTTTTCTCAGTTTGTAGGAATTGTTTCTAAGTTGTTCTGATTTACTTCCAGTAAAATCAATGATGTGTAACTACAAAAAATGCATCTTTAATTAGAGTGTGGCACTTGTTGAATCTCCCTCGTGAAATTTGGCGACATCTAATTTCTTTTCAGTTCTTTGCCGCTGAAGTTTAACGTTTTTTCTTTATTAAATTTTGTAATAGCGACTTTTTGAAAAAACACGTGGTTAATATTTGGGTTTTAAATCATGTAAAATCATTTTCGACCATATTCAGGAAGGTTGGAACAAGTGCAAAATTTAATGTTGAAAAAAGACACGTAAAAGTTCAGTTTGCATCCTTCAAAACAACGCCAGAATACATTACGATACATACAGAACAATTCGAAAATGGGTTAACAATAATAGTATGTTTGTAGAAATTGAAAAATTCAGACCTGGCATGGCGTCAAACAGATTGGGGGGCAGTTCAGCCAACGAAAAGGATGCATGTCAAAACATAGAACACCAAAATTAACATATAAACGAGCAACAATATTCCTAGTAAGCACTTTTTAAGATGCTAGTTTTGTGCATGCGTGGGATCATGTAATCTAATTCTTTATTACGACACTCAAAGTGGATGTATTATTTCATTGTATAGTAGTAAGCACTTTTTAAGATGCTAGTTTTGCACATACGTGGGATCATGTAATCTAATTCTTTATTACGACGCTCAAAGTAAACGTAGCTTGCATGGAGAGTGAATCGCTATAAACATTTGTGTAGTTAACTCCTTTCTAATTATACTTTTGATTGTACAAATTATGGCTTATGCAGTGAACCACAATAAGTTTCCTTTTCTTTAATTATACTTTAGACAGAAAAATTAGTGCTTATTCTATTCTTTAACATCTATTAGTATACTATCCAGAATGTGATGGTACTTGTCACATGTGCACGTGTAATATCATGAAAACTGAAAACCTCAAGTTAAGGACCAGAAATCATTCATACAACATTATCATAAGAATCATTCATCCACAAATTAGTGCCCATCTCTGAACCTTCCAAGACTCGTACAAACATCATAGAACGGTCCCGGATTTTGAAGCCAATATGATATTCCAATGAACTGTTAAAACTAAGAACTTCGTTCACCACGGAAATCCTACAGTTGAAAAGGTTCTGACCGGGTCATTTTATAAATGGGATTTCCTCGATTGTGAATAATTGACTAGCAGTAGACACAGTATTCCGTGCACAAGAACTATGCCCCACATTTTTTGCCGAAGAAGTAGCACCACTGTCCATTTGCTTGTAGTCCCGGCTCAATTCCTCAACAAGAAATGGCCCGAATGCATTTTTCAGCAGGGAATGTTCCCCAGTATGGTCATTGTTAGGAACAAAGCAGTTGGAGCGAAGCAAGAAGCCGGGCCTGGAGAAGTTCGTCAGGTTTGCTGTCTCGGAGTTGTCATATTGCATTGGGACAGGCTCGACTGCTGCTTCTTTAACATAGCATCCTTAAAAATAAGAGTGTAATATAATTAGCATAGCAAAAAACTAATACAGGTGGTTCTTGTAGAAATAAATAATTCACACCTGTCATGGTTTCAATCGATTGGATTTCATTCAATGGATTTCTGCTGCTGGTGGTGTATTCTCTAAATGAAAAGGAAGAATGACCTAAAGGAGAGATTGGATTACCATATGTTTCCTATTGTGTATCGAGAAAATCATGAGACAAAGTATCCATTACATCGATGGGCATAACTGAAGCATGAGAAGTATGCTTACAGGATTATTCTTCGAGTTTTTCATATTTTGTGATTCGTACAGCACAGCATCCAACAAGTCACTGTTTCAAGGGGAAAGGCTACACGACCTGGTGTTTTCAGTTGGAGGGGTCTGGATCAAAATATCAACACATTCAAGGGAAGGAGAAAGTCGAGAAGAGGGTGAGCGCCAATTACCTGTTTGAGTTTGGAGAGAAGGGAGCTAGCTTAATCACCCAATGAGGCTCAGAGCTAGAGTCGCCATTTAAAGCGGAATGGAGGTCGTGAATTTAACTCCTGAATGGTGGATGGTCAGAATTTGAGTTATTTTTCATATGCAGAAGGGCGTGCAAAAGATTAAGCAATCTGCACCAAACCATCGTTCGGATATTGAATGCCTCCTGGGGCAACATCATAAACAGGGGCATTTAAACTGGGTAAAAAGATTCTGATCCTCCAAAACGCTTTGATGGGTAGAAAGTTGAGAGCAGACTTTCCATTGTAAGAAGGGTTGAGACCTTGCTCTAGCAGGTTACTCGCAGGAATATCAAGCAAGCTAGTCTGAGGAATATCACGAATTGTCAGTGTATATAACTGCTGATTAAGTTCCAAATATTTGAATTCCAAAGATGGGATTTCAAAGATAGTGAGAGGTTGTGATGTTGAGAGAAAGTTCCAAAGTCCTCGTTTCCTTGGTTCTCATTTAATGTTTGGAAACATATTTCAGAAGGGTAGATTGGTTAACCAGTACGTTGTCTTCTTTTCATTCTAGTGTTCCAGCAGTTCTTGATCTCATTATCTGTATGGCCAGGCAACTATGGGAAAAAACGAGGGTAATGAATAAGAACAAATACAGCCAGAATAGCAAATACCGAATGCTCTATCTGTTTTGGAAGTCCACATTACTAAAGAATATTTCTAAGATGCGTCAGAGATGAATATACACGAGAGAAAGCTTATGTTTATTTGTGTTGATGCAAGCATAGTGGGATTTCTAGTCATACATTTCGAATTCAAACTTTACGAGAGAATAGTAAGCATAAGCATTTTTTAAATAAATATATTGTTGGGCAAATTATTGTCAAACGACCTCCCGAGCAATGATGTTAACCCGGTTTAATTTTTCAGTCGGCAGTGACCGAATGACTGAATAGTATATCAACACCTAAATTAAAACGACCAGACCTAAAAAGTTAATGAGACCATTTGAAGCGACTGAATTAAGTTGTGTAGTTCATGGCTCGATTATTTACCTACTTGAATGGCTAGTATTGTTGGAGACCCACTCTACAACCCATTTGATATTAATTCGGCCCATGACCCATTATTGCAACCTTATGGACTTACCTTTTTGTCCAATTGATGCCCATATATTCTTGCTCATTTTCGACTTCCATAAGACCGTGCATTCGTGGGACGATTCTATGGTTTTCTCTCTGCTGTCTTCTGCTTCATCCTTCACCTTGCCTTTGTGGCTTTCTTCTTGATGCTTTAACATTCCTTAGTGGTGGTTCTCTAAGTGAGTAAACTTCTAGCAACCGTAGGTGAAGGCTTTGAGGTGTTCTTGGGTCGTTTGGTTTGAGGTGTTGATTTGGGTTTGTGAAATTGAGCATGTAGAACCTTGGTGGTCGACTATTGATGACTCTACATATTGAAATATTTTGAAGACAAGCTAATCATTTTTTGATCATCAAAAGAAATTATATCGATCCACCAACATGCTTTTTAGGACAAGATGATGTTTGATTATAAATGTAAACCTCGAGTAGTTACTAACTAGTCTCTTTATGCTTGGTAAGGCTGTGAGATATTGAATTAATTAAGATGCAAAAAGAAGTTATTGAAATCAAATGTTGAGGTCATCCACATCGAACCACTTAAGAAAAAATAATAGATTTTAACCGATTCACCAATATGAATGAAAACTGAAAAGCAGATTTCAGTGATTACCAACATGAAACTTCATTATAGTTGATGACAGTGTTTTTTATGCTATATCTAAGATTCAAATATCACGAGAACGATAAATTAAAGCAAATACTAATTTTGAAATATATAACTTCAAGGGGGTGTCCTCAATTGTGATTGTGATGGATTTTAAAAATATTTCTAAATTTAGGTGTCCTTGGTTGAGATTTTAATGGATTTCAATTTTTTTTTTAAATTTAGATATCCTCAATAAATAGTGAATTTATAAAGATTTCATTAATAGAGGGATTTCAAAAGATTAAGATAGATTTCAAGCTTAAAAACACATATAACCAAATATTTTGAAATTTCACCATATTTGATAAGATTCTTTTGGAATTTGTGGAAATATATTCAAATCCACAAAATTCAGTAGGATTTATAATACTTCTAAAATCCATCAAAATCTCAGTAGACAATACCCTAATCATAATAAAAGATGTGCAGTTAAATGCCACGCGGGATTGATTATCAATGAAACTAAAGAGAAGCTGAAATGAGATTACAGTTCACACCTCTACCGCCATTCAAGCCCATTTGTTTCCCATTCTAGCATGAAGTTCAATGATCCGTCGCTCCTCCTCGGGAGTGAATGCACCTTTCTTCAAATCTGGTCTCAGGTGGTTTTCCCACAGCGGGAAAGGCTCAAGTGCTTCTGGACCGCATTCCAGTTCCCCTCTCCATGCCTAGTAACATATTGAACTAAAATTGCTTCTTCTGCAGAAGTCCAGGGACCTTTCTTTAATGGACTATTCTCTCCTGAGTTTCCTCCACTACTAGCTTCTTTTAAACAGATGGTGAAACTGCACTATTCTTGGAAATTATTCTTTCCTCAGTTTCACTTGTGATACTCATCTCCTAATTGTTGATAAACCAAGATAAATAATTAGAATCGTATGTAGGAAACTAAACAGATATTTACACCAAGGAAACAAAAGTGGAATGCAATTCAAAAGGGTGATCTCATTTCTTGAGTCAGAGTTGAATTTGCTAATAAGATATTGGGAAAAACTGACAAAATTAAGAAAGCTAATCTTAAGAAGCAACGGGGAGAAAATCCAAGCAGTTTCAAAAAATTAAAAACAGGATACCACAGTTCTTAGTTGTATAACCTAAACAAAGGAAACAAATTTCGGTTCCAAGGAGCATGATCCCACCACTTTTTATGAATCAGACTCGTTAAATATACAGAGGGGATTAAGGAACAACCAATAACAACAGAAAGGCCTGAACTATATTGACCGGTACATTCCAAATGTGACGACTTGAGTACCAAAAACTCAACACAAATCTATAAAAATTTCCGCAACAATTGGATGGCAGAGAATCTAATAAAGATTCAGAGCAACCAACAACATAAAGAAACAACCAATATTGATGTTTCTTAATCAGC